GTACAGTGATGAGTCCAACCAGGAAGTTTTTTATGAATTCTAAGGTTATTCTAAGGTCTATGGTTCTAAGATTTCATTTGTTGTAAGAGACCAAACAGGTAAACAGTACGACATGGTTGAGAGTATAATGGCATGAAGATAGATATTTGAAACAGAAGATGTCAGATTGGATCTAATTTTTGAATAAACGTATAATTTCTGTTTCAACTTAGTGGTTAAGACTTGTACATGATCACGATAAGTCAAATGAGAATCCAAAGTAAGTATTGAGTCTTAAAAACTATTGTGTAACTATTGTTATGTCTTGATTAAAATATCTTTAGTTACATGCCTGAACCACCATAACAACACATATATAAACTTGTTAATGAACCATAAGGAAAGTGATTTTGTTGGAGTGTCTGTGACTCAGCTGTAGGCCTGTAGGGGGCGTACCACACACTCAAGAACCATGTTAAAATGAGCTGCACTTCTGGTTTTCCGGGAGTGCATTAAACCAGCGTTCACAATCCAGTACTGGTATTCGTATGGTCATTCTCATCACATTTTAATCTATTCAATATTCATGTGGTTTATGCATGGGTAAGATCCGATTTCAGTAAACGAACACTAAATTTTCTTACAATAACAAAACAAAATGAACAAATCTTGACCAAACCCTCCAAGATGTGTGTTTAGTTCCTGTAGATTAGTCATTATATCATCTCTGAAGTGGATGAACTCCTATTTACAGTTTAGGCTAGATATTTACATACACTGAAAAGACAACTACATTTTTTCCTCACTGGCTCAGTTAAGATTTGTAAAATTGTTTATTTTATAAATTCCCACATAATAAAAGTCAGGTTTTCATCTGTTTTATTAGTATTTAGTGTTTTCTTCTTTCACAACTGATAATTACAAAAGAGGGCTTTAATTTAAATACAGTTACTGAACATGAAGTCAAGAAAATAATTCAGTCTCTAAGAAATTTAAAAAGTAGAGATGTTTTTCATCTGGACACAGTTTTTGTCAAACAGCATATGGATGTTTTAACCCTCCTTATTACACACCTAGTGAACCTTTCCCTCACACAGTGTTACATTCATACACACAGTCATTCCCATTTTTAAATCTGGAAATAGTTATGATGTTAGCAGCTATAGACCAGTGGGTATATTGTCGGTAATATCAAAGTAGCAGAAAACGTGGTCATAAAACAGCCAACAACCCAGGTTTAAGCCCTGTACAGTTTGTCTTCAGGAAGCACCACTCAACAGAAACAGCCACCTTACAGAGCAGATACGACTACAACTTGATGAAGGCGGAGTTGTTGGTGCTGTTTTCTTAGATTTGCATAAAGCTTTTGATGCAGTTAATCACAATGTTCTCCTCTCCAAACTATCAAACTTTAATTTCTTATCCAAAACCCTTTCTTGGTTGGCGTCATATTTATACAACAGAATGCAATGTGTTAAAATTAAAGATGTACATTCCAGTTTCCTAAAATGCACAATGGGTGTACCACAAGGATCTGTGCTTGGACACCTGCTTTTTAATCTTTACGTCAATGACCTTCCAATGTTTTGTCATGATGTAGAAGTCCAGTTACTGTATATGCGGATGACACTGTTTTGTACAGGCACGCTAAAACGGCTCAACTTGCGGCTGAGAAATTAACCAAAGCTCTGGAGGGAGCAGTTGATTGGTTAAATCAATCCTGTCTGACTTTAAATGTAAACAAAACAAAAAGTATGTTTTTCTCTAAGACTAAATTGGACACCTTCTTCAAACTGAGTGATTTGGGTCTTCTCACAACAACTTACTGGATTTTTATCCTGATTGTTCTGACAGAACAGATCTGGTTTGTAGACCTCCTTTCTCACACATCTTTACAACTCTGACCTTAAAATGTCTGTAGGAGTGAGATCAGGACTTTGTGATAGTTTCTCCCAAATATCTACTTTGTTGTCCTTAATCCACTTTGCAGCTAAGCCTGTCACTGTCCATTTGAAGACTCATTTGTGTTCAGCTTCCTGGCTGGTGTTATGAGATGTTGCTTCATATTTCCACACAATGAAGTTTACCAGTCCCTGCTGCAGCTAAATACCCCACAACATGATGCTGCCATCACCGTACTTCACAGCTGCCATCTTTTTCCTCCAAATGTACCGATGAACATTATGACCAAATGCTCATAACAATAAAAACAAATCTTCCTGACCTCCTCTCTGACCAAGGTCCGATGCTGTTTGACAAGCACCAACAAACCTACAGGAATAAGACAATAAAAGATGTGAAAGTTGAATGAAGTTTGGTGGAGAGATGGTGAGACCCTACTCTGGTAAAACCCTGTACGCTGGTGTTCTCTAAAGATTATGTCTGTATGAGAAACACCGTACCAAACAGATCAGTTTAGTTTCAGATCATTTTTTAGTTTGATTCATCTGGTGAAACCATGTCTTTGAAACTAGGTCTACTCCTTGTTTGACGTGTGGTGAGTTGTTTTTTTTGTTTTTTCGTGAGCTGACTGTGTCTGCTGGGACTCTGGTTTGTTCCAGATCAGATTGGCAGGAACCCGGGTCTGCAGGGTATCTGGGAGGATGAGAAGCAGAGGAGGAGAGAGAACAACCAGACCTCCCAGATTGAAGCCCCCGACTCTCAAGGTGAGAGGAGCATCAGTGATTTTTTATTCTTTCTTCTGATCTTAATTATTACTGTAACTATAATGAGCTCCTCTATAGAAATGAGAGCCTCTGTCCGACAGCTGACGTTTGGACCAAACTGGGTCACAAAGCAGCAGAACAATGATCCTAAACACAGCAGCTGATCTACAACAGAACGGCTCAAAAAGGCAACGGTCCTCTCAAAGTCCAGAACCTCAGCCTGGTTATGATGCTGGTGGACCTGAAGAGATCTGTGCAGAAACACAGTCTCAACGGGTTCCATCAGTGTTGTAAAGAGGAGTGGATCAGAATTCCTCCAGGGTGATGTGAGAGACTCTGATAGTCCTACAGAAAACCACTGCTGAGACTTACCGTATTTATTCAAGTATAATACGTAAAATTTAATCCATAAATCATCCATAAAGTTGGGGGGTAGTATTATACTCTGATAAATATTTTTACTTATGTATTTTAACTGAACTGAAAGGAAATGAGACCACGTCGTAAAAATCAGTTGAAACAAGCTCACCTCTGACACTCCTCCGTTCTTCAGAGTGAGATAATAACAGATCCATCAGGCGACATGATGTGAAAAAAAGGGTAAAAATCAGTCCTGCAGCTCAGTAATGATAACAAACTAATGACATTAGTGTGTGACYGAGCCGCTCCTSGAACAACAACAAACACATGTTCGTCTGTAATGGCTGCCGTCTACCGGTGTTCTGAAAAAGTTTTTATCCCCGAAAAAACATTTCCCCATCAGAGGGGGCGCTCACGAGTAGGAAGTAATCTGCTTTTCCCCCACAAGATGGTCCAAATCTCATGTGAAGTCTCTGACTTTTGTGTTGGCGCCTCCTGGTGGACTATGTGTAAAATGCCAGAATTCATATGATGCTGCTACAGCTGATATATATTTGTTGTCAAAATACCTTTTAGTACATATGTTGTTAAAATAAAATGAACAGTCCAATGATCATTTTACTGATATGTATAAAGACTGCAAAGACTGAAAAATCTTCAAGTCTGGATGAAATTGGAGGTAGTTTGAGGATTAAATTTTTTATGCTTTTTAAGATCAAAAGTGGGGGGGTTCGTATTATACATGAGATCATATTATACATGAGATCATATTATACATGAATAAATACGGTAGATCTGTTGAATCATATAAAACATGGCTCGTCTGCATATATGGTTAAAAGAAATTATGTCACAGTGTAATACGTTGTGCATAAATGTTCATCTTTTATTAATAAATAATAATAATAATGAATTTAATTTGTACCGCACTTTTCATTAACAAAAATCTCAAAGTGCTACAAAAAAAGAAAAAAAATCACCGTAGATGGACGTCTGACAGACAGAAACCTTGCTGACGTGCAGTTCTTTTGTCCCTGCAGTCAGAGCTGCTGTTAGGACCATAAACTAAATACTGCCAACTCGCTAAATAGAACAAGACGTCGTCATGGAAACAGGGCGATAAATAATCACAGACTAATCTGCTGCTGTGCCCAAATGAAATGTTTGCTTTCAGGCGAGCATCCAAACCCACAGGGTCTGTGTTGTGAGGAGCGAGGAGAGGCGGGTCTTTGCACAGATTACAGCTTGTTCAGAGAATCAAAGCTAGCTTAGAGAGATTTCTGTCAGTCAGGCCTGCAGCGAAGCAGCATCATCATCATCATCATCATCATCATCATCATCACTGTGCTGCTGCAGCATTCACTGTTGTATTCAGAGCTTATTTTTCTGTACACGTGTTGCTCTGGACTGGAACTACTTCTGCATTATTTGTGCTTTTTGTTAATCAAATCATTCAGCTCACAGGATGYGTTCTGTGACCTGTGGGTTTTGTAACTTTCATACTTTTTAAGGGACCATTTAACAATTTCCTGCTTTTAATTAGCCTTTTGTTCCTTTTGTCTTCTAGCTCTTTGTTTATTTTACTACTTTTAGCTAGCCTTTTGCTCCTTCTAGCTAATAATTTGCTACCTTTACCTATTTAGCTGGCTTTTTATTAGTTTAGAGTTTTAGTTAATTGTTTGTAAAATGTAGCTTTCAGTTAGCTTTTTGCTACCTTTTAGCTTACGTTTTACTACTCTGAGCTCTCAAGTTGCTACTTTTAGCTTTTAGCTAATTTTTTTCTAGCAACCATTTCCTACGTTCAGTTAGTATTTTTTACTGTTTAGCATGTCTTTTCCTTCTTTTAGGTTCCAACTAGTTTTCCATCATCAACCTTCAACAAGCATTTTGAACATTAATATTTTAAATTTGTTTTTTGTCACACTTAGCTTTTATATATTCACATGCTAGTTTTAGCTCTCATCTTGTGTTCTACTTCCTGTAGTTTTCAGCAGTCCTTCTGCACTGGTTATTCTTCAGTTAAAAGCTGTGTCTGACTAAGAGCTAAAGCGGGGCGGGGGGGCAATCCTGGTCCTCGGGGGCCCCAGCCCTACATGTTTTACGTTTTTCCTGCTCCAACACACCTGATTCAGTCAGTGATTTACCTCTTCATGTTCTGCAGTATGGAGGACCGACACTGACATAATTATAAATAAAAGCAGGAATATGTAAATGAACCACTAAATAAATAAATACACTTGAAATGCACCAATTCAATTAAAAAGAACTTCACCTCATGTTTTGTAATTTGTCATTTAATTGATATTTTTCCAGCTTAGYTGAAATAACATTATATATTTTAACACAATTCAAATGTGACTGTTTTTAAAATATATATTTTATACAGTTTTCCCTTTTACTTGTACATACATTTTGTGTCTCTTAAATGTTTAAATTGAAATATTTTTATAATTTTGTCCCACAAGTCTTTTATTTCGATGTGTTGTATGCGTGTGCTGCCTCAGTTTAGTTAGTTTAAAGTTTAGTTAAAAACAAAGGCACAGGTAAGTTTTTCTCCTTGCTTTTGTTTTAAACTAAACTTTAAGCTAAACTGAGGCAGCACACGCGTGCAACACAGAAATAAAAAAGACTTGTGGGAAAAATAGAAAAATAATTAAGTATAAACATTTAAGAGACACAAATGCTTGTAAAAGTAAAAAACAAAAAAAGAGTATTTTAAAAAAACAGTAAAATTTAAATTATGTGTTCAGATATATAGACTAATTTATTGGAACTAACCTGGAAAAATAAATATTAAGGTAATTTCAAACTAAAAACATGAGAAAGTTCTCCTTTGTTAATTTAATTGGTGCATTTATAAGTGTATTTATTTAGTGTTTCATATAATTCTGCTTTTATTTTCTAATTATGTCAGTTTTGGTCCTCTGTACTGGAGAAGCCTGATAATCATCCATTCATTCAAATCAGGTGTGTTGGAGCAGAGAAACAAGTAAAACATGCAGGGCTGCGGACCACCAGGATTGCCCACCCCTGAGCTAAAGTCAAATTGAACTTATCTTACGTCGATTAAATAGTTTTAAATGTATGTGGGAGAAGAGGTCTGTAGAAAAGCTGTAGAATCATCTGTCTGTGTTTCAGATCGTGGTTGTGTCACCTCATCGGACAGTGAAAACATCTTCCTGAAGAGGCTGAAGCAGATTCTGCAGGAGAATCAGTTTGATGTGTAAGCTTCTTATCTTTTCTTCAGCTTCTCTTGTTGGACTCTGCACACAGCAGAGTGAGTCATCTCAGTGGGTCGTCCTAATGAGCTGAAGATGCTCCTGCCCTCAGTCAAACACAAGTTTTTCATTCTTACTGGACGGCTGCGTGTCCTCACTTCCCCTCGACTCTGTCAGCGGTTTGTCTCGGGGCAGGGAGGCGGGGCCCCGAGCAGAGGCTGGCTTGAATTGGAAAGGAAGAATGGAGAAAGGGAAGTGGGCGCAGATGTAGTAGGTCACACACCGCTCTCTCCCACAGTAAACAACCTTCAGGTATTTCCTGTGAGGAGTAAAAGTCCAGTTGGGCCAGCGTCCATCTGTGCTGCCTCATCACATCCAGATGGTTTCTCCACTGGGCTGTGATAACAGGAGCAGAGGAGGGTGAGGGAGCGCAGGCTGCTCCTTCTCWGACTCTTTCTGTTGATATTCTCACACAAACACAATCTGTTGGTGCTTTTCATTCAGAGAATATGAGATCTACATGAAGCAATGCAGAGTAAAGAGAACCCTGACTAGTTGTAATGTTAAACATTTAAAAAACATTTAAAACAAAAAAAATACTGTAGGTTGTTTAGGTTTTCTAAATTAAAAAAATCTATTGTCACATGCCTGGAGACATTTTATCAGTGTTGTATAAAATACCACAAAGTGATGAGTAAAAGTACAAGTATCTTACCAAAACGTTACTTTGGTAAAAGTTAAAGTCTCCTTTAGGAATATGACTTGAGTAAAAGTCTTAAAGTATGTGATATTTGTTGTAGTTAAGTATTAAAAGTCAAAGTTTAGATTTAAAATGAGCAGTTAGATTTTCTGTAAGGACATTTATTAGGAGGTGACCTCCCCAAAAACTGCAGAAATGACTGTTGTATTAAAAGAATGAATGGATGTTAAATTTAGGATGCACTAGTCCAGCTGTTTCAGTTTATATACATATATCAAGGCTGCACAAAGCTTTTCCCCAAAATGAAAATCTATCTGAGGGCTGCGGCCAAATGTAAGAATATAATTCATGAAATACAAATACTTCTTAAGTACAGTCCTTTGATTTGAATGATTCTGTCCTGCTGGAGTGTGACATGATTTGTTTGTGTACAAACTAATACACTATCAGAGTTTTATATATTTATACTTCTCATTCAACCACAGTTAAATTCACTCTATCTAGGAGGCTCAGTTTATATGGATAGTTTTTATTTTTTACAACAACAAGCTGCAATGAAAACAAGYASAAATGAAATAAAAGTTACAACTTTATACTTTTTGTCTTTTTTAAAATGTAAGGAGTAAAAAGTAAAAAGTACGCTGAAAAATAATTACTCAAGTAAAGTACAGATACCCAAAAATTCTGCTAAAGTACAGTAACAAAGTATTTGTACTTAGTTACTTTACAACTCTGCGTTTTATTAATGCAACAAAGCATTCTGGGTAAAGGATGACGTTCAGTATCCTTCATTCTGCGAGCTCTAACCACCCTAAAGGTTAATCTTGGACAATATTGTATTAAACTCATTTTTCTCCATGTCTCCAGAACATGGTGTGAAGATTCACTCCTTTCTAAGCAGGAAGGATTGTTAGGCTGCAGCTGTGGCGTACAGCAGATGAGCGTTCAGACCAGTGATGGAGTAGAGGTGGGCGGAGCTTCGGAGCAGACTGTTAATTACTGCAGTCATCTCTTGACACGTGGCAAGCTCCTTCCCTCGTCGCACCGACAGTCATTAAGTAACAGACTAATTAAAGACACACACAGAGCGTGGAGCGTTTCCTCTCTGGAGCCCTGTCCTCACAGACGACGCTCTGAATGCTGTAAAATGTCTCTGCCAGACGGAGCAGGAACAACATTTAAATCATCCAATCAACCAATCATTAAATCATGGTTTGATTTATACCCAGCAAGACTTGGGTCATGTTGGTGCTGCTCAGTTACCTGTTCACTAGGGCTGTAGTGATACACTAATCTCATGATACGATATGATATTCTGCTCACGATATGATATTTATCACAATATTCAGCGAATGATACGATTCAATACAATTCAATTTTCTGAATGATTTTAGAGGAACACAGGGATTTTGGTGACATTTTGTGACTGTTCCATAGACTTGGATTGAATTAATTGAACTGAAAACTGATTAAAAGCACCAACTACACAACACCTGCTCTGATTGGACAGAGACCTAGAGTCTACAGCTGGACAAATTAATCAAAGATGTGGTGAGAAAATTAGTTTCCTTTAATTGAAACAGTGCAAACTGTAGCTTACAAGCATAAATAATATTTGGTTCCATCCAGGTAAATTTGGACAATAAAGAGCAAATTTTCCCAAATCTTCAGGATTTGTTGTTTATGATGAGAGGAATTAACACAGTTAAAAACTTGGAGGTAAATTATTTTGTTCCTATGTTACAGAGGGGGAACGGATTATTTTAAACAACTGAAATATTTGGTTGTATCAGCAATAAAAAAAATATAAATACACACAATGGGCCTCATGCAAGAACATGTTCGTATTCTTCTCCTAAATTTCTCTTACTTTTGTTCGTACAAAGGGTTCGTACGAACATGTCACGTCAGATTCAACAAACTCTTCTATCTTCAGGAAAAGTGTGTAAATGAGCTGCGTAATTTACACCTGTTCTATCCAGCTGCTCGTGCACGTGAGAGGAGATTAGCATAATTACCACCCCAAAAACACCATATAAGGCTGTGTTTCCTGCCTCAGATATCAGGAAGTGTCCATTCATGAAAATGACAGTGAAAACTAAAAAGAARAACTTTAYGAGTTCAGAGATTGAAGTCYGTCTGTCAGAGATCCAGAAAAGAAAATCTGTCATTTTTAGCAGGTCAGCTGTGGAATAAAAAGAGCTGCTAAAAGTATAAACAACTGTGTTAAATCATTTTCATTTATTCAGAAGACACAGAGCTGAACTACAACGTAAAAATGAACAGGAAAAAAAAGTAGGCAGGAAAGTTGACATTTTAAACCTTAATTAAAAATCAATACAGTATTGGGAAATGAAATATCGATATACAGTATATATCGGTGTATCGATATTTTCCTACACCTCTACTGTTCACAGCACCTGTCAGGTGACTTTCAGTCAGGATTTAGTCCCGTATGTTTTGTGCCAGACCTGTTTGGTGTTCTGCTTCTCTACCCGTCTGTCCACACAGCATCCTGACTGTGTTAGCTATGGAGCCAAAAAAGTCAGAGCTTACATTGACATCAAAAAAAGAGATTTGGCACTGAAAAGTTACACTTTGAAAAAGAAAACACTGTCATTGAAAAACTTTTAATCTCATTTTACACTGTAGCTTTTTTCAAAGCCGCTGCAGAGTTTTTTTTAGTTACGTCTCCACTGTAAGCTGTCACAGTTTGACATCAGGGGGCGGGGTTAAATGGAAGGCTCCTTCACGTTTCTTCGTCCGCTACATCTGCCGCTAAAGCTAGCGCTGATTCATGTCTTCAAATTAGGTTTCCAATTTGCTTGTTTTAAAAGTAAAACTGAATCACTTGTCTGTTTCTGCAGCTTATAATGAAAACCATAAAAACAAGACTCTTAGTCTTAGTCCTCTAAAGCGCAAATGTGCTCATTGCAGACCTAAATTTCTCTCTTACGCTTTAGGGGTTTTACTAATTTCATAAAATATTGTGCAGATTTGTGCTTTTTAAATTTAGAATTGAGTAGCGCTAATCGCAAATAATGTTTCACAGTCAAACGTCTGTTTCATCTAAAGTAAAGAGAAAGAGCCGTCTACTCTCATTACGTTATAATTCATTAAAACTTTGTCATGATTTTCTTGAATAATGAAGGGGAAAGACATTTCTACTTAACACAATGGACCTCCACTGTGACGAAACAGCGACCCCTCGGTCTACATTGTGTTCACAGAGCTTTATACTCTGACTTCTGACTCTTCTCAGTGACGGTTTTCACAGTAAAGACCGTAGTGTTCCCACAATTCTTTGCGTGGCAGGAAGGAATTAGAATTTCTTCAGTGGGTGACAATCTACCTGCAGTTCTGATCTGCAGAAACACACTCAGCTGTGCAGTTTGTGCATCCTCTCTGAGGAACACAGCGACAATAAATATTAAATAAATAAATATTAGTAAAGGAAGAAACACGGAACAGTTTAAATTCACACTCTTATTTTGAAAAGAACGTAGTATCTGTTCTGTGTCCTGTAGCCTACCCAGTATGCATTGCTTCAGTTTTATGACAAACAGTTTAAAATTACCAATATATCTGCATGTTTTCTTACTGAAGCCCTGCCATAAACATAAGAAAATGACCAAGAAGCCGCAGAACTAGCAATCCACAACTATTTTTTTATTTTACAACCATGATTTAAAAGTCTGTTTCTACAAATGACCTCCCCATTCTGCGCCAATATGTGCCAATCTGTCAAAGAAAATATTCTTGCCACTAGATGGTAGTAAAGTGCTGACTTGTCTCTTACCTGGGTGTCTTCTGGTAAACAGAGATTATATTAGCTCTGCTAAGATTTATTGAGCATATGTTCTTTTCAACTTGCGGACCTAAATAACTGAACTAGCGCTTTAGAAATTGTGCAACTAAAATTTAAATTAGCACCTGCCCACCACTGATCAGAACGTACATGTATCTCAAAGGTTGACTTGATGCTGTGTTCCTGAAGTCAGAGCTTGAAGACATTCCTGGTTGCTTTTTTAGGCTCGGTGTGGGATTTAAACTTCTCAGACATGAAGGTCTGATCTTCAGGCGTGGCTTGTTCTGAGAAGCAGCAAAACGAATGGATGTTTTTTTCATTTTCTGTGAGCTGTGTTGTGAAATTAGTTTGGCTGCCTCCATGTTTCAGCTGCAGCAGAGCAGCATGGGTAAAGGAGCGACTTGTAGCTCAGAGCCATCTGGAGACAAAACCCATTTGGTTGCTCGCCCAGTTTCCATTCACATTCTGCTCTCTCCAACCTGACCTGCTCACACACTTCATGAGACAAGAGAACCTCCATAATAAGACTGTACAGCTCCACATGGTAAACAAAGCACTTCTCCTGATTTAGACCAACAATAAAAACGATGTTGATTCAACATGTGAGAAAACTTTTTGATTTATTCAACAGTTAAACAAACAGATCCTCTAATGCTCAGAGGATCCATATTACTAGAGGTGCAGCCATAACTCAGCCGGCCGGCTGATGTTTACATCTCATCCACTGATCTCATCTACCTCCACAAAGATCTGAAAATCAGTCTCTGTCCCCCTTTTTCTCTGCTGAGATCTGCCCAATGTCCAGTCACAACTAGTTTGTATTGTTTCAAGGGTATTATTCAACGTTTTTCAATGAAATAAGACTGACTTGAGTTAAGGGTTCTGGGTTTACTTCCACATTTCTCACTTGCTGGACTTTTGTCCCGGTCCTCCTGACAGAACTGAGTCTGGTTTGTAGACCTCTCAGCTCTGCCCACACATGTTCTAAAGGATTAAGATCAGAACTTTGTATTGGTCACTCTCAAATTTAAACTTAATTTTCCTTAATCCACTATGTGGATGTGATCATATGTTTAGGGTCATTGTCCAAATGAAGACCCATTTTGTTTTAACTTCCTGGCTAAGGTCTTGAGGTGCTGCCTCAATACTTCCACACAATGTCTTTTCCTCATGATACCATTTATTTTGTCAAGTATAATAATATTGTTTTATAAACATTGTACATGTTAATATACGTTTGAACAGAAGAACCTTTAGACATTTAGAAATTGGACCAATGACGAGCTAGAATAGAGTTGGTGATTCTTCTGATATCTTGGCTGATGTGTTCCTCCAATTAACTCATGTTGTCAACCAACCAATCAAAACCTTTCTAAACTATGACATCATCATGCGAGTGTTACTTAATTATTTAAAGGCAGAGTAATCTCAGCGTATGCAAACGTGACTTTGATTAAAGTAATTAGAAGTCTATTTTTTAGGTCATTTGGTGAATGGAAGTAATTTTGAGAATCTAACAGATGTAAACCAGGAAGTTTTATCTGATTTAATGTCAGACGATGAGGATCAAATGATTGTGTTAATATACAGTGTTTAAACATCTGGTTTCAGCTGTGTTTTCAGTGTTTTTAGCTCAAATGTTTCTTTTTAAGTTGTTTCTTCTCAACTCTTTTTAAACAGTTTGTGCTTTTTGATTATGTTGAGTGGAATGCCTCTGAGTGAAACAAGTTTATTTTTGGTAAATGAAGTCGTTCTGTTCAGGACTCAAGATTCATTTGTGGACCAAGAGGATTTCTCAGGTGACCTTACTCTGCACTCTGACCTCCTGACCCCTGGCAGACTACCATCTACTCCTGCTAATGTGGTGGAGATTCACAGGGATTCACAGCCAGGTGAGGAGAAAAACACTTCACAGCATCGAGCAGTGTTCAGAAAACAAAGGAGCAATAATCTGTTAGTGGTTCACTTCCTGTTTAACACACTCTTTTGTTCTTTGCGACATTTCTCTCCCTCTGCTGCTTCTATCAGCCGTGGAGTTCCTCAAGGATCCATCTTGAGGACAATTTTATTGACTTTGTACGTTTCCTTTGGGTCGGTTTTCCCCAAACAGAATGTTTCGTTCCACTTTTATGCAGATGATACTCACATAGTTCTAATATCTGAACTAGATGCAGAACTCCTCTCTAGTGTTGTATAAATTACCTCAAAGTGATACTTGGTTAAAAGTACAAGAATCTTATCATAAAAACACTTTGGTAAAAGTTAAAGTCTTCTCTAAAAATATTACTTGAGTAAAGGTTTTAAAGTATCTGATATTTTTTGTATTTAAGTATCAAAAGAAAATTTCTGACACAAAATCTACTTAAGTAATAAAAGTAAAAGTACTGAGTAAAAGTGAGCAGTTAGATTTTCCAAAATGATATTTATTGGGAGGTGACTTAAAAATATATATTTTCTAACAGCGTGCAGCTGTGATGGGTTGTGTACAAGCTAATAGTGTGTCAGAATGGTATATATTTATACTTCTCATCCAAACACAATTAAATTCACTCTATCCAGGAGACACAATTTATCAGGATAGGATTTTTTTTGTAATAACTCTGAATAAAACAGGAGTAACGACTTTCTACTTCTTACCTTTTTTTAAAAAATGTGGTGAGTAGAAAGTACAGATAATTGTGT